GTTTATTATTTTTGATACATTAAGTTATTCTGCAGATTGATCTTATGATATCTGGAAATCAGCCTCTGAGGGCAATATTTTACATCACTGAGTTGCAGCTCTTTTGGGCTGTATTTAGTCTTCCAAGTGAAGTGGAACCTTCGACTCCAGAAGGATGTGACAGGTCAGATTTTTTTTCTTTTCTTTTACATAAAGTAATAAACAAGAACAATTTATTTTTTCCTTGTATTTTTTAATATTACATTCAAGTTTATATATGTCCTTGATTTTTTATGGGTACTTGACTAGGCTTTGCATTGCTTACATGGATGCAACATGGAGATTTTTGCAGTCAGTAGGTTTCTCCTTGAATGTGAGTATTAAATAAACTATAGCACTACATAATTAGTAACATTTACTTTGTCCATATAAACAATCTGTTTTAGGCTTAAGAGTGTACTTTTAGGCTGTCGGTTTTATTTTTGTTCGTTTTAGGATGACCAGTGGAGACTCTGCCTTTATGCTGCTATGTTCCTTCCCTTAAGTAATGTTATTTACAGAGAGAAAAAAGGCAAAAAGGTAAAAATAGTTAATGCTTCATCAATTACCTGGCATGTATTTATAATTCAATATATTATTATTTGTACTGATTTGTAAGCTAGTTTTTAAATTTTAACAGATACCAGTAGTAAGCTACCTCTTCAAGGCTTCTCTCAAGTTGAAGAACAGTGATGCAGATATTGTATGATCTTTTAGTATCTTTAATTATTTTTATTAACTTCATTTTGATTTACAAATTTATTAAAATCAAACAGAAAATTTCTTGTAATTGATCATTTTTTTCTGCTGCAGGTTATTAGCTTGCATCTTGCAGCACAAAAGTTCGTGCACTTAATTCCTTCACTCATATCCAATGAGAATTTTCAAACTCTTCAAGTCGATAAGAACGCATTAGCCATTGATGTCCCTATTTCGTTACAACTCAGAATACAAACAGGTAAAAAGTGAATCTTAACCTTAAAAACTCAAAACTTACTTTCATAACATTTTCAGTGAATCTTAATCTTAAAGAAAAAAAAAGATATGACTAAATATGCTTTCATTTTTCTTTTATGTGTAGGATTGATTCTTCGAGAAATCAAGGACTTTTGGCGTGCTTCATTGATGCTTTCTCTGCTATTAAACTCAGAAGATATTGGTTTGAGTAAAACAGAACTAAACGGGAGAATAGAATTATATAACAGAATTGAGAATGCAGTTCTTGAAATGGGTGCGTTTTATAATGCTCACTGCTTACGCTTTTAGTTGTTCATCATTCATAACGTGAAATAGATGCTCGGTTTTTTTAGCAAAAAAAAAGAAAAGTACTCCAGGCAGTTACAATTATGTGCTTCCAACAAATTACTATAACAAGTAAATGATTGAAATAGATTTTCCATGTTTTGTTACTAGTTAAACAGTCAATCAAATAGACCTTTCTTTTTTTTCTNGTCTGGCACTTGAAGCCATTAGTGAATGGTAAAGACATCATGAGTGTCTTGGAGCTAAAAACGGGAGGGCCGGTTGTGAAAGAATGGGTAAACTTCCTATTTGCTCAAACACAGTAAAAACGCGCGAGCTTGCAACACTTGATTTGCAAATTTAACGTTTTTTTTTTTCTTTTTTGTTTCTGTTTCTTGTTTATTTTACAGCAACAGAAACTGCTCCAATGGCAGCTTGCGCATCCTTCTGGATCTGCAGACGAATGCATTGATTGGATGAGGCAAAACCACTCAAAACGCGCTAGTACAGAATGACATTTTTTTCCTTAGTCTCTTTTTGGTTATGATAAAAAAAGTAGCTTCTACGATTTTTTCGACTGTACAGAAGTTTTTCGTATTGCTCGTTGTTTTGACGATATTCGTGCATAATTTTCTACAAGTAATAACAAACAATAGTATATCCATTTCAATATAACTTTAGATTTACAAACTCATCTTTTGGCTTCGATTTTGAAGGCAATGTATGTACATTCTCATTACCTCATACGATAGTTTTGAAGTCGAATAAACATAGAAGAAGTTCACCATGTGTTAGACCGTTTAACCATAAGAACTCGCCTTCTTCGCCCAATCCAACTACTCATCCACGAAGGATCTCTAGAAATGACTCTATAACCTGCGTTCGAATATAATTTTTGAGCACCATAATCATCCTCATAAGCTCTGAGCACAAGATACTCGAAACCCCAAATTGCAGAGAGTTCATCACAAGCCTTTAGCAATACAGTCGCCACTTTCTGTCTCCTGCAAAAACAACAATCATTCAATTCTTTCGAAATACCCCCCAAAAAAAAGAAAAAAAAGAAATGAACGAACAAAGGCTATGTTTGGTAACTAATAAGCTAGCTTAAAGCTTATTTGGTTAGCTTATAAGTTTCTTGTATTCAAATAAACTTGGTTTGGTAGGACGAGTTTTTTTAAAAAGTTCTAGCTTATCTCATAAACTTCTTTGGGTAGCTTTTCAAATAAGTTCGTTGAAATTTTTATATCAGCTAGCTTATCAGCTAATATTACCAAGCACTTTTATCATATAAACTAGTTTTTCAGCTAAAAGTCTCATAAATTATAAGATATAAGCTCGAAATTACTTATAAGCTATCAGCTATCAGCTAGTTTTACTAAACATATACAAATATAAACCTTTTCAACCTGAATTTGTTTAGGACAGCTATTCCAGAGACATAAAGATACTCTTCTACTCCTTTGAGGTGCTCAAGCACATAATCTTCCCTTTGAACTGTCACATCGACTACTCCTACGAGTTCTTTAACATTCGAGCCCTCATAATCGCTTTCGGGCTCTGCTACTAAACAAGCGTACCTGCGTAAAAATTAAATAAAAAAGAAAAAAAGAAAAAACCAATCTTTTTCAGCTCAAAACACTCCATTATCAGCATGAAACTTTTGGGCCAGAACTGAAATTCAAAAGAACTTCAAGGAGTCCATAATCAAATATCGAAAAATTACCTGTCTGGAGGTGAGTTCCTCAGCCTGTACATAAGTCCTGAAAGCACTTCAGCCTATATATGANAAAAAAAAAAAAAAAAAAAATCAATGAAAATTCATATAGTAAGAGAATCACTTGACATAACATAGAAAAGAAGGGAAAAAAATGAGTTGAGTTACCTTAAAAAAACCGAAGAACATATCGTTAAACATAAACACTGGCTCGTGAAAAGCTTCTGCTTGAATGTAAGCTACTCTTTTAGTCTCCTCCTCTGTGTCCGCCATTCTCCTCACTTGCCAATTTAAGTGGCTAACCAAATAACCGAACAGAAGCTTTTCGCTTACGTGGGCCCCGCCATTCGAGTCGAGCTTTTTCGGACGCGAATTCACTTGCTGATCAGCAGATGTAGAGTAACTGCACAAACACACAAGCCTTTTGTTTTTCTTGAAGGCTGAATTTTGTTCTGTTTTGAAGCTCAAATTGTTGTGAGAATTGATTTTTCTCAAGAAAAGTTCTTTTTTGAACTGCTTTACAACAATAGAAGAATGGGTGCAGTGCAAATGAGCCATTGAAAAACTTTTATTTGCTTTATTTATTTATTTTTTTTTTTTTTTCNTGTTTACTTCAATGAAGCACTTGGAAGGGAATCATCAGTATATGGGCTCTCTTTCCTTGCACACACACACACACACATTAGAGCTTGAACCGTTTGGCAGTTGAACCGGCTAAAAGTAAAACCGAGCCCTGTTCTATTATATATTCATTTAAAAAGTTCTTAGTGGTAAAATGGAGTTTTTATGATTGGTGTTAGATATTATTTAGCTAGCTATGCACATAGTTTTGTTGTTGTAAAAAGTTAAGGAAAAAATCATGATTGATTGCTAGTTGGTAAATAATAATTTTATATGTTGTAATACAAAAGTAATTAATATTCTTTATAAGCTTGAACCAATAGTTTCTTACACAAATGGTTAAATAATAAATTTCTTGTTAGTTTGTTTAATAGAACATGCCCTAACTTGTTTTTTGAACAAAAATACATAATTCGCTGTGAAGTATATAAAAAGTGATATGAAATGTCCATTTAATCCATTCTAAAAAACACAACATTTCATTGAAAAAATATGTATTTATATAAAAAAATTGTAGTTGTCAAAATTAACTCATGACAATTTATGATTTTGTTTTTTTTTTACTAGCTTATATAAATTGAGTTCAAATTTATTTTAAAGGAAGGTAGCTCTACATTGCATAATCCTTGAAGAAACATTTGCTTCACATGAACAAACACACAAACAATTGGATAAGAAGATTGCAATGTTAATGGCTGTGAACTCTCTCAGCTTTGTAGAATATGGGGACCCCTCATATGTTTCATATTTTTTTTTTCTTTCAACCATATAATTTATTGATTATCTCACAAAGTGACATGGCAGCAGATGAGCTTGACACCTGTTAAATCCTTAGAAATTGCCATTGCTTGATTTTAATCCGCACAAAATAGAAAGAAAAATTGAAAAAATTGGAATTTGATTTTGAGGTATTGTTTTGTTTATGGTTTGTAGCCTGTAGGTGACTACTATAAATGTTACAAATTGCCATTGCTTGATTGTAATCCACACAATAGAAAGAAAAATTGAAAAAAAATTGGAATTTGATTTTGAAGTATTGTTTTGTTTATGGTTTTTAGCTTGTAGGTGACTACCATTAATGTTAGAAATTCCCATTGCTTCATTGTAATCCAAAGAAAATATGAAAAAAAAAAAATGGAATTTGATTTTGAAGTATTGCTATGCTTATGGTTTGTACTTTTGTAGCATGTAGGTGACTACAATTAATGCTATATAGATACAATTAATGCTTTCTAAATATGTGATTTATTCGTTGGGCCTCCGTAAATTAGATAATTCGTGCCAGGCTGTGGAGTTGGATTGGGCTAATTTATGGATTTGCCTGGGCCAATATATTCTTATTGGAATAATATAGGCTCTTTTACATGCTTATCATATTTTTTTTAATTTTTTTAATAATACATTCAAAATAAATTTATATGTCAACCACTCATAAACCAGTAATAAAGCTAACAATAATACAATTTCTAAACCAATTACAAAAATAACTACAATCAATCATTCATAAACACTTGAATTTAGATTATTTATAATTAAAAATAAAATTTTCTTCATAATGGAAAATAATAGATTGGTAGGTAAAAGCGTAATTTTCTCAATATAAACTTTAATATTTTTATATGTAAGTCTCGAACAAAATTGTAAAATTTACTCTTGAACTTCTATTATGTTATATATATCAGTGGGCCTATTGGGCTTTTGCTTGTGGCTTGACGACTGGAAGCAACATCCAATATAGAGTCGCAAAAGATTGGTGTGCCCATTTTAAAATTTTATTAAGCCAGAATCTAAGCATAAAAATTTAAAAACTTGGGTAGTATGTGCAAATGTAATACAAGGTAACGAGATAAGAAAAAAAAAAAGTAACTTATAATTGGGTGTTATTCGAGCCATGGCTATTGAGCACTTCGAGTTCAAGCTCGTCAATAAACGAGTCAACTCGGCTCCATTCTTTTAATAAAGAAGTGAAAATGTTTGGCTTGGGCTTGACTTGTTTAATCTCGTAAAAGCTCTTCTCGGCTCGATTCGGCATGTTTAACAAATTCAAAATCGTAAACAAGTTGTTCAAGGACAAGATTTGTTTTTTCGCGAACATACTTGGCCTACTTATTCCATCGAAGCCTGTGAAAGAATAAAATAAAAATAAAAATGAATGAGTTGCTTGTGAATAGATTTTCTAACTTGTTTAATAAACGAACTCCACTAATTGTTCAAGCTCGATATATTTTTGGTTAAGGCGACAAACGAGCAAATCAAACCAAGTTATATTCACAAAATGGCAAATTCGACCAATAACTATACTTATCATTTTANAAATTAAAAAAAAAAAAAAACCTCCAAATAAAATAATTGGTTCGGATTCCTTGTCTCTTTCTTTAGTCTTGGTCGGTTCAATGTGACCAATTGTATGAACTATAAAACTTGCCAACTATAATCGTGCTCGAAAGTCAAATGTACCTTAAGCAAAAGTTGGAATTGAAGCAAAAAGAACTTTCTAATAGATAAAATAAAGGTCAACCAATGTATGAATCAAATTTTTGAATTTAATTGGACACCAATTATATCTTACACTCCGAAATTAATAGTTTTATAAGTTAAAGTCAAACGCAATGATTGATTGTAAACAAAATGAACAAAGGCCGACTTTAGAGCATGTCTAGGTGATGATCACTGTGTCTAATTTTCATTGGCCAAATGCAGATTTGATTAGAACAACAAATCTTATTCAGTTATACCAATACGTGACTTTCTCCTTCCAAATACCTTTTGAACACACAAACCATTTATTTATACATTAATAGGCAATTTATCTCATAAATTTCAATGATTTATGATATAAAATCAGTGTTTTGTGACTCGGATCGGCCCGGCTGGTCGACCCGGAACCGGAACCGGTCCAGGTGGAGTATTTGGACTGGGCAACAAAGGACCCGGTCAAAATCCGACCGACCCGGTCTATTTTTTTTGTTTTTTAAAAATAAAACTATGTACGTATGTTTATGTGGTAAATATTTATCATGAGATACATATTATTAACACTTTAATGTACAAATTTTATACACAAAAAATTTAATTTTGTTACTTTTATATATATTTATATGACAAAAATACTCTATATATAATTTTAAAAATTTTAAAATTAATTATCCGGTTCAGCAATTGACCCGGTGACCCAACGGTTGAACCGGTGACTCGAGGACTGCCCGGGTCGATTACCGGGCCGGGTTTAAAAACTATGTATAAAATGTATATGTACATATATAATAAATATAATTGCAATTAATGTTGAACTATATATAGTTTTAGATGATGTTAGTATGTACCCAGCCTTATTAAATGAGGTCATATTTGATTAAATATTCCGTGAGGCGAATTTTGCGGCCGACTATTTGGCCTCCTTCGCAGCGGAGGAGTTGGTGGGGTATCGACACTATACTGTGCCACCCGATGGGGTTTGGCCATGGTTACACCATGATGTTATTGGCGTTTCTTACTCGCGCAATGTGTGCGACCTAAATATCTAGGCTTTGGCTTCTCTCTTTGTACAAAAAAAAAAATATAATTGCAATTAATACCATCTTTTTGTTTTGGCGCCCGAATTTTAATTTAATTAATTTTAATACCTGAATAACTGTTAGTTAATATAACATTCTGTAATTTCTAGCAGTTGGATTATTTTTGTTTTCTGAAAGAAAATGGGAGTTTCTTTTTTAAACGCCATCAATTGTGTGTGTATATATATTTAAACGTATTATGTTCTTTTTGTGAAAGATTTTTTTTTTTTTTCAAAAAAACGAATAATGTAAAAAGGAAAAGAATAAGCTTTCACGAGGGCATCTTTATCAAAGTGTTTATGTGAGGTTTATAAACTTAGGTTTAACTACTAAAAAAGGAGGAGGTTAAGGTTTACAAATGTAAAAAAAGTAAAAAAAGTGAAGTTATACTATATAAAATGTAGAAGTATAATATAAGTGGGAAACATATAGTAAGACCATAAATGGAGGAACATTATTGTTATTAGAAGTTTGTCCGCACATTATTGGAGTGGAATGATGAATCTATATCTTCGTCTCTTCGAGAAATAAATCAGACTTTTGTCTATGAGATTTCAACTACCAGTACATATACATCGACTATCGGGTTGAATAATTGATAGAATTGAATGGAGAACACAAAATAGAAACAAGCTCTTAAAAAAACAATTTGTTTCCACATTTCTGGAGCAAGTGAAATTTTAAACAAATTCTGGACAGTTAACAGGCGCATCCATCCATTTTCCCTGTACATGGCTTCTCTTCATTTATACATCTATCCACTTCCCAACCTCCGTATACACAAACAAACTTTTAACACCATAATTTCCACTTTCACTCATCCCACAATTACCCTGCGAAGTCATAAAACACACATCGCAGTAACTAACAACACAAGATTATATTAATACACCACCTAAAGCCACCACATTTTCGTCGGCCGATCGACATAAACTAGACGAGGCGGTGGTATTCGTCGGAAAGCTTAGGTGTCGAAAACAAAACCAAAAAACGCGCGATCCTTTTTCCTTTTTGTTTTCTCTTTTTTTTTTTTCGTTTTTTCGTGTCATTTTTTACAAATGAACCTTGGTTCTTCTATACACATACGACCTGGTGAAGCACGTGAAGGCGACGAACCCGAGCGCGCTCATCCCAGCCAGCATCCAGTAGAAGTAGTCGAGGTGGGCCCGGTTCAAATCGTCCGCAAACCATCCGGGTCGGCCCCCACGGCTCGTCGCCGCCTGTAACGACGAGATGAGGAAGCTGCTGAGCAGACTCCCGATCCCGAGTATGCTAAGGTACATGGCAAGCCCCACGCTCTTGAGCTCGGCCGGCACTTCCCCATAGAAAAACTCTTGCAAGCCGACCATCGCGAAAACGTCAGCTACCCCGGACAATACGTATTGGGGCGCGAACCACCACACGCTCATCGGGACCACGGCCCCCGGGAGGTCGGCTAGACCGTGGTCCCGGGCAGTCGAGAGGCGGTGCTGCTCGACGAGGGCCGCGATCACGATGGAGGAGAGGGAGAGGAGGAGGCCGAACGAGATGCGGCCAAGGGTCGGGATGCCAGAGGGCGTTTTGGTAATTTTGCGGGCGAGGGGGACGAGGGCCCGGTCGTAGAGCGGGAGGGAGACCATCACGACGGCGGAGATGAAGCAGAGCTGGATCGAGGCGGCCGGCATCTCGAAAGACGGGGTGACTCGCCGGTCGATTGTCGCTACCTGCTTCGTGAAGAGGGCCGCCGGTTGGGCGTACACGATCGAGTAGCCGAGGCACGCGAACCATATGGGGATCAGTCGGAGGATCGACCGCGCGTCCTCCACGTCACCAACCGAGCATACCTTGTTGTCGTCCTCTGCCCAGCCGTCTCGCGTCAGCAATGCTTTGTCGAGAAACCTTACATTGGGCAAAATAAAACTTTAACTTATCATATCAACTAATTTTGTCACATTTTTGTTATATCAACTAGTTTTTCTGCTATCAGTCATAAGTTATCAACTACAGACTTAACAAATATAGCCATATTCTGAACAAATTTAGGACATATTTGAACTCAGCTAATTTTTCTGCTATAAATTTTGGGCATATTTGAGCTAGTTTTTCTACTATCAGTCATAAGTTATCAGCTACAGATTTACCAAATATAGTCATATTCAACAAATTTCGGACATATTTGAGCTAGTTTTTCTACCATCAGTCACAAGTTATCAACTACAGATATTACCAAATATAGCCATATCCAACAAATTCCGGACATATTTGACCTCAGCTAGTTTTTCTGCTACCTGTCACAAGTTATCAGCTACAGATTTACCAAATATAGTTGTATTCAACAAATTTCGGACATATTCGGACTAACCTGAATTGAGAACCGGTACGCGGAAGAACTCCTTCCTCTTCGCACAACTCAGGCTCGGGGGTTGCGCTGCGCCAGTTTCTGACGGCCTTCACGAAAACTATAGTTATCCGCACGAACGGGTTCATCCCGCCCGGGTTGACCCGGAACCGGTAGGTCGGGCACCCGACCAAGAACAGAACCAAGGTAAGGCACATGACAACGGCCGGAATACCGAACCCGAGCTCCCAACTCACGTTGTCCTGAATGTAGGTGAGGGCAAATAGGGGCACGACTATACACCCCGACGAGAAACAGTACCACCAGTTGAAAAACGAGCTCTTGGATTCGGATTCATCCTCGTCGTCCTCGTCAAATTGGTCGGCCCCGAAGGCCTGCACGCATGGCGTGAGCCCGCCTTGTGCTATGGCGACTAGGTAGAGAGAGAAGAAGAAGAATGTGAGCTGGAGATGGTTAGGGGTACAGCTGGCAGTGTAATTTGCGGCGGGATTGCATTTAGAGGCGTCAGCCGAACGGAGTACGGCCGACAGGGAAAGGAAGCTGAGTCCCTGAAGATATACACAACAGAGCACAAGTGAATGAATTGTCACTTTCTGTTTGAAAACTCTGAGTAGTAATACAGTTGGAAAAGTAATGCTTTTAGGTAAAAGATAATACACGACAGAGAACAAGTGAAAGATTGTCACTTTCTGTTTGAAAAATCAGAATAGCAATAAGTTGGAGAAGTAAATTTAAGGTAAAAACATCTGAGGTGCAGGTGATAGAGTTTAATTACATAGTGGAGAAGGATATAAGATTGAATTGATGTAAGTCAAAAATGGGGGAAATAATTATGATCTAACATGATAAATCAGCAATATCTTTACTTGCACATTATCTTATATCAAAATTGTAACTAAAACTAGCATTTTTTGTGTATGAATAGTGTTATTTTGGAGGCTTTTCTTTTTTAAAGTAAATCACACAATTCCCTTTTATGATTTTTTTTTTTTTTTTAANGATTATATTTTCACTAAAATGAAAATGTGTATCCAATTGATACCAATTGGCAGCCCAATAAATATCAGGGTTTGCAAGTTGGGTAGAAAATCCTTTTCGTGAAGAGTAAAAAGTAAAAATTAAAAACTTCCTTCAAGCCCAGTCGCAGTCGGTCAAATTTACACTGTTCAGCTGTCTACCTAAGTAAAAGAGATAATATCACACGCACATAATATGGACAGCTATCAGATATGACAACGATGTACCAGCAGGAAAAGGTTGAATAGGAAAATGGGAAATTTTAACATCAGCAGCAATAAAGTAAGTTCATATCTCCAACGTTTTCAGTGCCCCCTAAAAAAAACAAAGAGTTGAGGACTTAAAAATTTAACCTTGATACATTTTTCTGTTATTTCGGTTTGATGAAAGCCAAATAAACAAAAGTCTAAGGTCCGTTGGTGCAATTACATAGTTACACCCCCAAAAAAAAACATGATAGACTGTGAATCTCAGCCGCCCATGGGCACTGACCCGCTGAATTTTAACCGTTCGATATCGAAAAATTGAGCTCAAGCATTAACAATAAGCCAAAAAAATCCAAAACAGCAACAAACAAAATTTCATATCCCATAAAAAGGAGGTTAAAGAAAAACAAAACAAAACAAAAAAACTAACCGTCACGTAAAGCACGCAGGACGCGATGATCATACGAAACCTCCCGGTGAACGAATCTGCTATAAACGCGCCCAAAATTGGCAAAAGCGACGCCGTTCCATACCACGCGTTCAGTACAGACGCCGCCGTCGCCGTCGGCTGCCCCAGCTTTCCGGTCAGGTAGTTCACCAGATTCATGCTTATTCCGTAGTACGACAGCCTCTCCGCCACTCCAGCTCCTAAAACAAACAGAAAAAAAAAATCTTAAAACTAAAAAACAAAAAAACGCAAAATTCGAAAAAATTCAGCTCAGCGACCGCGAAATTCCCGATCACGATCGTCGGAAAATCGCCCAACGACGATCGATTTTTTCGAATCGTACCTATGATGAACGAGGCGGATTTCCAGCAGCCGGACTTCGATCGGACGGAGGGCCGCCCCCTGAAGTCCATGGACCTCGGGACGACGTCGTTGAGCAGAGGGACCTCCGCCGCCGATATTTCTTCTCCGGCGCCGATAGTCATCCTCTCCAAACAAAACGAAAACAGAAATTGTATGTATCGACCACTGTAGCTCAAACGCGCCTCTGCAATTTTTTGCTGTGTGGGCTAATAAAAATGGGAGAAATTTATGCTTGCTTGGTGGATAGTTGTGTGGGCCCACAGCATGTTTAATTTAAAATTTTTATTTTTTAGTTTTTAATAAAGTAGATGTAGACCCAAGACATTTTTATTATGTATGTTAGAGCTTCATTTCATCTATATATATCTATATATATATAATAAGAATTAACATTTAATAAAAATAATAGAAAAAAAATAGAAGAAAATTTAATGCAGAATTATCATTTAATAAAAATAATAGCAAAAAAATAGGAGAGAATTTAATACAACTTATAAATAGTAAGTTTTATTATTTTTTTATTTTTATCTTTAAGAAATCATACAACATTTAATGTTACATTAAATTTTTGGCTTTAACTAATTTTATTATTTAAAAATTCAAGCTAAGATTTATTAACTGTGCATTTTTCATTTTTATTTTATTTTTTTCGTAGAAACAACGAAGAACATTAAAATCTCAGTCTCTATATTTATAAAATCTCAATTCAAAAATTTATGCCTTTCAAAAAAATATTAAATGTTGTTCGTTAAATATCATTTACCACTAATCATCATAATTTTTTTATTTGGAACGTGTGATAATAAAATTGGTAATGTTTATCACTTCTTTGTTTACCAATCTATTGTTTTTTCTATACTCAGTTTCAAAAGGTAAAATAATTATCAAATTATCAGTCTCAATAATTATGCATTTAAAAAAAATATTTAATGATAATATATTATTTGTTAAGTACACAATTTTGAAAACTCCATTATAAATTATATGTTGATGTCCAAATCTTTTTATAAAATCAACTTTGTTGAATCTCCAAGAAAATATGGTAAAACAAAATGAGACGATCAACTTTGTATAGAAATAAAATAAAATCAATAAATCAATATGAAGTTCACAGGAAATTAACATAATGATAATTTGTATAGTATACGGATCTAAAAAATAATACTCACGTGGATTCTAAAATTCAAATTTATACTTATCATCATCTTCTGGAAATTGAATAATATATTTTCGGCAAGATTTTTTTTAATAATTCTAGACATGTTTTATTTATAAAATAGTTTAGAAAGATTTTAGGTGACTTCACGTCTTCGATAATGATATATAAAATTTTAAATACTTTACATACGTTATATAATATTTTAGGTGTTTTTAATATTTTAAACATACATTTTTTATGTTATTTTATACAAGATAATTTTATATTGTTTACAACCAATATACGATAAATTATGTCACATATTAACTCCACACCTTAATTACAATTATTAGTTAATATTGTTTACCCTCATATTTTATTTATAATTATTAGTTAATATTATTTACTGTCATCATTAATTTATAATTATTATTTAATATTATTTACCCGTACATGGCACGGACTACACATTAGTTTTTTCTTATCTCATATCCTCATTTGAACCTATCCGACGCTAGGAATTTCCCCGTCCTTACACAATTTTTATATTATTTTTAAAATATTAAGATATAAAACCGAGATTCGCAAAAAAAAATAAATAAATAAATAAATAAATAAAACCGAGAGAGTCGTGTTGAGAAAACATCCCATGGAAGTTAAGTCGTACAAATTACGGTTGAAGACTTTTTGTTTGTTCATTTTCAGTGTTAATCGACAACAGTTTGGAATTGTGATTAGGATTGGGAATTTGGGGTAGCTCGTGATTTCGTCACTGACTCGTTTTAGTTAAATCAAGTTGAGTTCGTTAAGACTTAAAAAATATAATTATTATTTCTTATAATATTATTATTATAAGCATATATAATTTATAATTATTAATATTATTTTTTAAATTTATAATTAATTATAATTTATTCAACTTATTATTATTATAATATTTAATATTTATTATTATAATATATAATTATTATTATAATTTATTATTGTTATTATAGTTATTTCTAATTTGTAATTATTATTATTATTATTAGAATTTNGAAAAAAAAAAAAATTACCTTGTTGGAGAAGAGTCATTTGCCGATGCCGTAGAATTCTTTCGACATTTTTTTGAATTTTTTTTTATGCTCGAATCGTTCGTTGAAGTTCGAAAATTTAGAGAGATAGAAAGTTTAGAGAGATAAAATCCAAAAAAGGGTTAAGGGCAAAAAAGTAAATGGGGGGCGGTGACTAGTAGAAGGGGACGGTGAATAGCAGTTGAGTAAAGTCAAAGTGAAAGTAGTTCACATGTGACATTGTGAGGTCCAATCAGAAATCTCCGTGTAGTGTAGGCCCAGGCCCAACAGTGTTACTACCGTGCGCCCTGGCACACCTTGCTAAGTGTGATAGGGCGCACCTAAGTATTTGCGCAGGCCATCCATAAGAGTTTGGGAAGAGGAACAAAAATACAAGGCAGTTAAATTGACAAATTAATTACATTAAATTAGTCAGATACATATGTTCGATTTTTGAACATGAAAAATCTCATTAAATTAGTCAGATGTATATGTTTGAACGTTGAGCAACACCCTATTAACTATGAGCAGTTCTGTTTAGATAAATAAAATATTATATCGTTTTAGTTTACCAAAAACAAACTAATCATCTTTTAGTTATATATAGACTGCGCAATATTTGATAATTACAATTTTACCTACACTTTATACTGGCATGTAACACATTTTCTTTTTTTGTTTTGGTAAATTGATTTTCTCTCTTACGTAGTTTAGTATAGATATGAATATTGAAATGAAATATAACTATAGTAATTAACTAGTATTCGACCATATACATATTCACATGCATAAATACAAATAAAATTATATATAACAAATTAACTAGTATTTGACCATATACATATTCACATGCATAAATACAAACAAAATTATATATGTTATATATGTGTATGTAATAATTAAAGTCATAAATTAAAAAATAATAATTTCACATTTTATAACTTTTATTATTATTAGTAACAATGAACAATAAAGATAAAATCTATTTAACTCACCTTTATGTTGACTGCAATAATGTAAATTTTACAATTTTAGCTGATTATGGGTAATAATTAGATGAAACAATGTTGAAATTATTATTTTAGCAATGTGTACAGAATTTTAAGAGGATTGGTTATGCCTAAAAATTAATTAACTAATTTTAATAAATAAAAAAAAATTCTTAGTGAGCTAGAAAAAAAAATAGATTAAAATATCATTCAATCGGATTTTATGATTAGTCAATAGTAGTTATCATTTCATAAAATAAATAAAAATATAATTATTTAATTAATGCAAAGTGTAACAGAAAAGAACGAACAAATGAAAACAATTATCATAACTTTTTCGCCAGCAATTATTATATATATAATCTAATTAGGACTTATTATTATAGACAGGGCAAGTAGGCATGAGAAAAGATAAGCCCATCTTCCCCATCTCCATCGATATCCCGAAAAAAAACAAACAAAAAGAGATTCCCTTCTCCATCTTTTCTGAATTTCTTACCCCACATCCACTTGTGGTGGTGGTTAGAAAATGTATAAAGGATACAACTTAAAATATTGAAGTAGAGCAAAAGCCGAGTTATTGATGTATGTTATGTGTCAGCTCTAGCTCGATCCTGTTAATAAGACTTCCACACAATATATCAAAAATTCACTAATGACAAGTAACAATTTACTAAGGGGTGATTGATAAGGAGTCAAAATTGATCAAAATAAGTTTTGATTGGATCAGTTTTTTTATTCATTTTATCTCAAAATCTAAATATCTTTAGTATTATCAATATAATTAAATAATATTAATAATCTATCTTCTATATTACATCAATTTTAATTCATTATTCATTTACTCACGTATTTTTAACTACTGTTACTTTCATAATTTTTATCTTACTTTTACATAACATCAACTTTAATTATTATATTTTAAATATTATTTAATTACAATTTCTCTCATTTCTCTCGTTCAACTTTATTCAAAATAATTTACTTTAATCCAGTATTAATTTATTATTTCACTACAAGAAAACAATCAAAATGGATCAAACCCCCTTTTTTATTAACTATATATATCTTGTAACGATAGTCGGCAATGGAGAATTTGGCGAGTTAATTGAACAGTGGAAGGTGTTATTTTATCCATTTTTATATTTATGTATTATATTTNNTACGGAACGATAGAGTGTTGTTCTTTTATTTTTATGTTACTGTTAATCGTTTAAAAAAAAAAACAAAAAAGACAATAAGGATAAGACTAAACACTTAGACCTGCAGACTTGACATGTTTTGAATTTCCTAAAAATGACGCATCGACCAATAACATCGTAAGACAACTATTCATGGAAATAACGTTTATTAAAATCAGCAATGAGTACACTAATTGCTGCTACTATATCTATCAAAAAGAAAAACAGTGTTATTCTGGTTTTTCTAGATCAGTTTTAATGAATAAAAGATACTAGTACAATGCCGTACTTGTTAAAAAATTTATTTAAAATTAAATAGTAATAACAAAAATTATTTTACTTTTTAAATACGTTTTTGAAAAATATATTATTATTTATATTTAAATTGATACCGTCATTTACACGACTTACCATCTTATATTATATAATTTTTTAATTTATATTAAATAACTACTTTGTAGATTTAAATAATTATGTTTTTTCGAAATAATACTAATAGGTAATTTAAAAACTCATTTAAAACTACTTTATTCAATATAAATATATACTCTATTTTATGAATTAAATTTAGGTTATTAAAGAATGATATAAAATGTATTTTGAATGATATAAAATATAGAAAAGTAATACATGTATGAATTAGATAAAAACTCATTTAAAACTACACAATACTAAATTTACGGAATTATCTTAAGATATACTATCATAACAATATGATAGAGTTAATACACAAATTTATGGGAGGCAATAAATTTATAATAATGAAAGAGATATTTATAGGATACAATAATGTAAGATGAAATAATTATTTATGGTTGATTCCAAGTTGATTACGTTTTCAAATTTTTTATCCGAACAAAAATGCAAAGCATAATTATTTCACACGTATGATTCCAAAGCGTGCGAACCTGTCACTTAAGCTCAGTACGTTTTGAATTAATATATAAGGGGATATTGAAAG